TTATTAAAATATAAAAGACATATATATTTTTTTATAATATATTTTTACACATTTTTAATATTTAATTTATATATATATATATAATAAAAAACTAAAAACACAGGATAGGGAAAAAAAAAACCCTCACAAAATTCGGATGGGACCGAATTTCCATAGGGGTACAGTATACAGGTTTACATGCGTAAATAAATTGGTGTAGATTTTATTTTTGTAATTTTTTTTTAAAATTTCAAAACAGTGAAAAATTCGATTTTCGTAATCTCTCTCTCTCTCTCTCTCTCTGTAACAAAACGTTTGATTTGTGGATCTTAAAGAAATCATAACATGTTAATATGAACTCACTCCTCTGTGTTTTTTACAAATTGATCTCTAATGCTGCTTCTGAATCAGTATTTCTAGGTAACATTTTTGTGTTCTTTTGTCTGAAGAGCTTGTGCGGTTTTATAGTAATCTTCTCTATTGGTGAACTACTAAGTTTTGCCCCACAGGTATCTTTCTCTGTTTATCCTTTTATTAAGAAGACATAGACTGTTCAGGTGATGAATGATGTGTTTTTGCTTGCAGTTGCTGGGTACCTTTGTTTTCGAAGAGTTGTTTTGTTTGTTACACACAACTTGGAGAAGCAAATATGCTTAATCCTTGTGCAAACAGTAAGCTGAAGAGGAAGAGGGCTGAGGAACAAAGCCCAAACTTGACAATTGGTAAAGAAGAAGGTAAAGAAGAAGAGAAAGATGTTAAGAAGGACGAAATTGCCTCAAATGATGTATCTTTATTTGCCCCTTTAGCCTCTTCTCCAAAGAATGTGAGATCTCCCGCCATATTCATCCTTGACAATGCTTCTCTGATAAAGGGTCTCGTTAGAAAGGTATTTTACAGGCTAATAATTATATTGTGAAGCTTTTACTTTGGTATAGGTTGTCATCTCTCATTGCTTATGTTCTCAAAGTTATGTTGGAAATATAAAAATATGCATTTTACAGGCTAATAATTATTTATTTATTTGTGTCTTTTTTATTTATGGTTTAGGAATGGAAAATTCTGAACTCGGATGAGGATGCACAGTTTCTGCTAAAGCAAAACAAAAATCTAAATGATTATCGGCCTGACATAATTCATGAGGTTGGTTGTTGATATGATCTCCTAAACTTACCTTTCCAGTATTATATAACAGTTTTTCAACTGTAGTGAACAGAGTAGATAAATTATATTATGGATAACAAATAATGTTACCTCTTCTGTCCAATTAGTATTGTTTCTTTTGCATTTTTTTAAAGATTTGCATAGATATTTTCAGAATTAGATTTAACTCTTTGACTTCTTCAGGCTCTCCGCTGCATTCTAGATAGCCCTCTTAATAAAGCCGGCATGGTAGGGGCAATATATGTTAAAATTGATCAAGGAAGATTGTTTGAAGTCAAGCCTCATGTTCGTATACCACGAACATGCAGTCGATTCTGTGGTGTCATAAGTAAACTTTCTTATGAATTTCTTCTCCCTTTCCTCTGTTTCCAACTATTATATTGTATAGTGGTTGGGCCTTTAGCCCATGCTCTTCCATCATTATCTGAAAAAGTAATGTACTTTTTCTGACACAGGCATGCTTTGATTTTTGGGATTGCATTTCTTTTTCTTCTTCTTTTCCTTTCAGCACGCAATCATATTGAGAGCTCTTGTATGATTGTAGACAATGCCTGAATTGTCCCTTAAGACTTAATTCTTCGAATGCTTGCATGATAGTCTTCATCTACGTCTGGTAGTCCATGTGCATCTCAATACTTGATCTTCGTCTGATTATTTGTCATCAATGCTTTGACTTCCTTTGGTCCAGTCAATATTGTAGATGGACAGAATTCATTTCAGTCTGGAATGCTTTTCAGTCTGTGCTTTCCATTGTCTGATATGTAGTTGACTTTCATCTAATTTTGACCAGCCTTCGTCTGAATCCTTATGTTGCGCTTTATGTTGTGCTTGACACACCTACGTCTGGTATTTGATCCAACATCGTCTGGTTCTCATGTCACATTTCATCTTGTATTTGACTTTGCTTCGTGTGATCCTTATGTTGTGCTTTGCCTTGACTAATCTTCGTCTGGTACTTGAAGAAGTTTCGTTTGTGGTTTGTATGGACTTCTTCTCGTTCTAGAATGCGCTTCGTCTGAAGCTTGATCATTTTCCTTCTTGTGCTAGACTTGGCTTCGTTTGACCTTTCCGTCTAATGCTTGAAGCTTTCCTTCCTTTATCTTGGTTATAGTATAAGAAGTGGCACATGCTTTGTTCTTCAACTTGCTTATACTTATGTTTTTCTGAAACACTAACACATATGTTAGAAATAACAATATGTATTATATTTGTCTCATTCAAAACTTTGTTGGGAATTGATTCGTCTAACTTAACAGATACCTCCCACCAAACCTAGATCTCGGATCGGGCTATAGACAGGTCTTGTTGTGCCTGACTTATGTGCTTGCTCATAGACCTTAGCTTTGAGTTGTGTTATCTTCAATAAAGCTTCTTGAAGTCAATCGTTTGGGTCGAATTTTTGCAACTTTACCGGGTGTGTGGTCCTTTCATATCTATTAGCACACTCATCATTTAGGTGCTCGATTTCCATGTCCTTATTCTTACACTGCCTTTGTAGACCGTCGATGATGAGATTGAATGCTTCATCCTTTTCCTCCAAGGCTCTTACTTGGGCTTCTAAAATCTTCATCCTCTTGGTCAGGGTATCAACTTGCTGTTGCTTCCACCGATATGTAGGTCTAGTCATACTAGTGGTCCTTCTTTCGCTTCTCTGTTGGTCGTAGTCACTAAAAGAAGCTACCCTGAGTCTTCTTAGCTCGTTATCTCCAAAGTAGACTGATTTTTCCCAAGCTTCCCTAATGGCGCTCGTCGTTTGTTACTGCTTGAGAGAGTAAAGGTAGCAAACCCCTCCAAGATCTCCTAGCCTAGGCAAAGTCTGAGTCCTCCAAAGTTTTCTTAATACTATCGTCAAGGAATAAGCTATGCACCCTCTCAGTCCCATCAAAGGAATGCTAAGGAAGTTACCACCTTGGATCAACACTTGTCCGGGACGAAACCAAGGGCATGTCCATGTGAAATAATCCTTGATATGACCTTCCAACTTGGCTTTCCAACCCATAGCGTATTTCTTCGACACTAGTATTTTGGGGAAATTTCTCAATGGATCGGGCAGCTTTCCCACATGTCCTTTGGCAAAGAAATGGGTAAATGCACATACATGTAGCAATGGCTTACAACACTTCAATTATTTTCCTGACTTTTGGTTACAGATGTCAACAAGAATTAGGGTGTTGGCAAAGATGACAAGCATGGGACTCTTCAAATGTGGGTCCTAGGCAAAGAATGTCAATTGTGGCGTGGTCCACCATCTTCTCACGAATAGGGAAAAAGATGATCCCGAATATGATCAAAGTGAGAGTCTTGTTGAAGCTCAACCAGTCCCCTTGATCAACTAAAAAGGAAACGGCAGTCGATTCTGTGGTGTCATAAGTAAACTTTCTTATGAATTTCTTCTCCCTTTCCTCTGTTTCCAACTATTATATTGTAGTGTGTGAAATATCTTTATGCATTATGAAACTTATTCTTGTGTTGTATTGTAGTGGAGTTGCTTCAAAAATCTTCGGTGCGGGCCAAAGATACAAATGAAGTTCTACTTCGTGTTGTTGAGGAACCTATAATGCGCCATTTGCCTATCAACTCTTATATAGTAGGTGGGTTATACTGTTTAAAACTCTTGAAAGATTTTTGGTATTCTTTTTATTTTATCCTGTTATGGTTTTTGAAATAATCATGGGATGCAGGTCTCTACTATACGTCAGAAAAGTTGGTTGACATAGAGGAATATGTCTCAGTTTGGAGCAATGATTTGAGTCCCGTTTTTGTGGTATGTTTTAATTTTAAAACATGAGTTGATGTGATATGTTGGTTTCAAACATCCTGAAAGTTTTTTTATGTGTTTTCAGGTAGGTACAATGGTGAATGGGAAAGTAAAAGGGGACTATATTCATGATTATATTTCAGGTTTAATTTCTGAATTTTATTTTATTTGATTTTTGTTTATTGGAAACAAATTTACTCAATTGTATTTTGTTTGATTACTCTGCTTGGAATAGAAATGAGAGAGAATTTTGGGATTTCACTCCACGGTTTTTCCAGCGTGTCAGTGAACAAAGCTGGAGATGTACACTTGAGCTTGAATAATAACTAATATATGTTAGAGTATGATAGAATATGTGAATTGTTGTGATTTCTTGTGTATAGACCTAGACCCTGATGTATTGTGTTCTGGCATATATGAGACTACAGTTAGCTATATCTATCAGTTATTTAGATTAGTGCTGACTCATCATCGTTAGACTACTCTCTCCCTATAAATACCTCATTATTGTCTCAGATAGTTAGTAATAATGAAAATCATTCTTTCAGTTTCAAGTATTTGATTCTCTCATTATAATTATAATAATATAAATTTCAAGAAAGTAAAGGATGGAGCAACAAGTGAAACATGCATTGCTTATCCTACCATGTATTATGTAGATTTAGAATTGGAGTAAAAAAATTTAATGTGCCCTACTATATGTATCTCAATTTGAAGGAATAGCATAATTGTGACTCTTTTTCCTTTCTCCCTTTTTATGGGCCATAAAATTTTGTTATATAAATTCTTCAAAAATGGGATATATATATATATATTATCTCTTTTATTTGAGGAAAAAGGAGGGGCTGTAGGATATTCTTCAAACAGTACAATGTCTTGTAGACACTTACCCCTCTTGCCTTTTGTTATATTGCATGTTTATGTATTTCCCCTTTACATGTATTTTAAGATTCTGGTAGAAGGGGATTCAGTGAACAACCATGGACCTTTTTGATCTATCGTTGTTACTTTATTTTAGGCCTAATTGAATTGAGAGGTCTGATTCTGTTGAATGAGGTGTTCAATTAAAATATTTCGTTAGTAGGAAAATGATTGCAGTGCATTTATCTGTAGGTGGGATTTGGCCAAACATAAGTTGCCTATGGGTGCAGTATAGATACTAGGTGATGGTTGTTCCTTGTAATTATTTTTGGGAGGCTATATGAATTGGTGTATACAAACTAGCATTTGTTAGGTCTGTTTAGATAAATTTTTCAGAAACATATTTAATTGAAATAAGTTTTCCTTAAGTTAAAACTAACTCATGTATTGGTTAAAAATAAGATTTTGAAGAAATTAATTAGAAAAATTTTATAAATTAACTTATGCATAAGATAATTTTATCTTATAGAAAAGTTTATTTAATTTTTCTTCATATTTTTTCTCTTCTAGAAGTATCTTTTAGAGTTTAGTCAAACATACCCATATTTCTCCCAGTTTCGGTTCTGGTATCTTGGATGATTCATACTATATTTAGCTTTCCTCTTCGATTCTTTAGAAATGAAGGTCTTTTTTTAAAGATAAAAGAGTTTGTTTATCTATGGTTCATAAATACAATAAGTTTACTGGTTGGAGATGAAGTACCATGTAAAGCTCAACCCTCAGTTATTTTTCTTGTGGATCTTAGTAACCCCAAAGCGCCAAGTTATTATTTGTTCTAGTTTTTTTTGATCTTATCAAAGGCATGATTGAACTGACACACCTTGTTATATATAACTGTATCTTCTGATGTGTGCATCTTGTGTTCTGCAAGCACTGAGGATGACAGTCATTTGATTTATTTTTTATTTAGGAACTTAAAATATCTGGCATGAACTGCAGTGTAATAGTTGTGTTGTGGGTATCTCTTGAGGAATTATAGCAGTTTTTGTCAATATTATTTAATTTAGGGCGTCTGAATAGATGCACCATGTGTGCATAAAATTTTTGTTTCATGTAGGAAATTCTGGTCTTCAGTCTTTTGTGCATATTCAGTTTCAAGTTTGTTGTAACTTTGTGCTGTTTCCAGTTTTATTTCTATACTAAAGCTTATAGGAGTTATATTTACGTGTGTTATCACTGATGCAGTTTCTGAATATCCACTTGCTGCTAAATACTGCCTAGGGATGATCTGTGAAGCTTTGGAGCAGAAATGGAAGATTTTTTGAACTAATATTATATATTCAATTATATAGTTAGCCAAAGTAGAATTTTCTGTTTGGAGGATGTTAGCTTTGTTTTATAGGGTTTATCTAGAACTCGTGAACATATTTCTTTTGCATTGAAGCAAAATGCCAGTAAAGTGATATTTATTCAAGTGAAATAGTTGATGGTTTTTTATCGGTAGTTCTTTATGGGGCTCTTCTAAGTAAATAATGTTGTTTTGATAGCCTCTGGCTTGTTTTTTTTATAACAGTTTCCAAAGCTGTTCTTGGCATTATGTGTGAAGAAGCAATGGGGAAAGATAACTATTTCGCATGAGTGCTTTTTAGTGATTTTTCTTTAATAAGAACGTTTTTAGGTGTTTCTATAAATGAGTTCAAGGCCTCTCTTAAGGAAATATGTTACACCAATCCTAATGATGATAAATGTTAGATTTATCAAGTTGATTTATGTTCTGGTCTCAAGGACACTATTCTGGCCATTATGATTCTCTCTAGAGTCAAACAATGGTATCTGACTTTAATGCTGCAGTATACCAAATTTTAGCTTCCCAATTTCATCTGAAACATATTCCAACATGCATGGTTCAACACAAGCTATATGATTGACAATAGTACTTTTTATAATGCAGGCATTGTCTTTCTAGAAAATCCAACATATATCCATCTATAACATGTCTTGTCAACCAATACCTATCTCAAAGTTTGGTCCCGAACATCAAGATCCAAATTTACATAAAATCCTGTCATAAAACTAATTATATAATTAGTATTTTCCAATTATAACAATATTTTAATGTTTCATTTCTTAAGGGAGAGGGGGCTCATGCCCATTTCATATTTATAAAAAGAGAGGGAAGGTCCCTTGGATAGGGGCAGCCCAAGAATGTTCGTTGGTGAAAATGGGGCAATCGAATTGGGTTTAACTACCATGCACCATCAGGGCCAACCAAAATCATCTCAGTCACCTAACAAAAAGGGTTTGGTAATACAAAAAAAGAGAAAAGTAATGAATGAAATAAAACAAAAGCTATGAGTCAAGTCTAGGCATGGCAACGGGTGGGTGGGGGCGGGTTTTACGTTTCCCACCCGCTCCCGCAAATTTAAATCGCTCCCGCTTTCGCCCCCGATACCTGCTAGGGATAAAATCTGTGTTTCTATTCCCGCTCCTGGCAGGGTTCGGATTTCCCCGCCCCGCCTCCGCTCCCGCTCTTATTTTTATTTTTATTTTTTTATTTTAAATAAATATGAACAATTTAAAAAAATAAAAGAAAAGTAAAATAATATAAATTTTTACATATAAATATTTTTAATTTTAGTTTATATATATATAAATAATTTTTTAATTATATTATTAAGC